TACTTGCGCAAGTAGTTGGCGAGACCAAGCCACTTACGCAAGTCCTTTTGGTTCTTTGAAATAGGCTAGTCCACAATACTTGACCTTGGCGAGATCCCCACGCTTCCCGATGAAGCACCTAAAAAGGAAAATTTCATCGGCGCCGAAGATGCACTTGTCTGCATAAGAATCCGTCTCATTTGTGCGCATGCACTCGAGCAGCGCTCTTAAATGTACGACGTAGTGCTCTTCATCCAGCCTCCCGTGCCCCGTACGACTGTGGGCGAAGATGTCCTCAAAGTATGTCCGTGCATATTCCCAATGGGGCCTGAACAATTGCGTCACAAGACAATTAAATGTTGCTGTTGCATTTGGCAGCCCTTGGGGCATCATCAGCCCCTCCCGCTCGAAGTACTCACCGCTGTCAGCTGAATATCACTCGCTCTCATGAGCAATTGGTAATACCCATCGACTAAGTCGAGTGCATTGTACCTTGTACAGCCAATCATATTGTTTTGGAGAACATCCTTCAGGGATTCGGCGTCTGTGCCGGAATGGTGGCAGCGTTTACCTTATTTTAAGCGTGAACGATACGCCATTTACCGTTCGGCTTCCGGACACAGAACGCGGGTGTCGAATGGGGAGACTCGCTCTCAAGCACAATTCCTGCGTCGTGCTTCGCACGAAAAAGGCATCAATGACGTTACACTGCGCTTGGGCAGCTGTCATTGACATGTTACGCAGTATTTGGTTCCCGGAACCAGTCGACCTCATGACGCAAATCTCGATCTGGAGGTAGGACCGATGGCGGGTCTTTGAAGACAACGACTTGAAATTCTTTTACCAAAATATTGTACGGATCCGATGGATTCTCCAGGATCATAGACCCACTTCGTGTGTTTAGCATCCTCTTGGTGTCCTCCAGGACAGCTTCAGCCAGAAGGAATGATGAGTTAATCTCCTCTTCGGCCGTAAAATAACCACCTCGGCTAAATTGTCTGCCTTCAAGTCACCGCCAAACTCTTCGATGGACATTCAAGAAGAGCATCCACCGCGGAAGTAGCCTTGAGGGTGACGTCTCCGTCTTCCTCGCCCATCATACCGTTGACAAGGGCGTATAGCTGTGTGCTATCGTGTACGGTAGACACAGCCTAGAGCAGGGTCGACATCCTGCGTCTTGCAGATAACAAAAAGCATCGCCGACTCCTCTCTATAGAGGATTTACGTCTTGTCGAGACCAGAAGGAGCACGCACTCGGCGTTGTCCAGTGTCCCCACTCCCTGCTCAATCGGAGCCTTGACGTTATAAACAACATCCGACGAAGAACTGCTATTTCCGCAGTCTTTGTCCAGTGGACTCCACGCGTATGAGAACATGAGTCAACTGCTTCGTAATGTGAACAGTGCTTAATGGGTTTCGTGTCACTCTACGTGCATCACTAGGGCCTCGCCCTCGATGGCTCGGCCCTTGGCCGACCATGCTACTCTTGGCATGCAGCAACTGCTTTGGTTCTTGATCAGTAAGGCGATAATCTTTGCGTTGACGTCGTAGATCATTTGCTAAGTGGTCTGCGTGTCCTCCACAGCTGTTGGAGACGCTGCGACCTTTTCGTGGCCGGCGTCGAAGCTGACTGGAGTCGGTGCGCTTGGCGCGTCGTCGGAGTCACTTGGGCTCATAACTTGTTGAGAAGATGAAATGAGGAGTAGAAGGTAAGCTTGGAAGTGGATATTTGTAGGTCCTTAGTTCGCTACTCTGTGCTACATCTAATCACGTCATTTGGCACAACCCCTATCGTGTCATCGCGGGCGTAATCATACAATATTGTTTCATGGTCTGGGGATTTGATCGCGCAACGTGTACTTTAAGACGATCTTTCAACAACCACAGCTTGCTTTCCGTAACGCAATGCAGTTGCCAACTCGATAGACCTTACGGTTGAAAGACAATCGGACCTGCCACTGTAGCAATAAGCTATAGTATGAGCATTTAGCCAGTTTGTGGCGGAATCGTGTCAAACACGCCGGCAAGCACTCAGATATGTTTTACTGAACATGCAAGGCACAAACACACGCACAAAGTAAGTGAAGAAAGAATCCAAGGCTTATCACATGGAGATTGAGCTAGCAACGTCGAAAGTCGACACAGTGCAAGCAGTTGCTCTGATGAAAAACGGTGAATTTTTTTTTGATTGGCTGGAAAGCGATACGCAGCGCAAGGTGGCATCATCTTCAACAGAGGCAGTGTGCACCAGGCTTTTAGACGTTTTTGAGGACTGCTATCTAAAATCACATTTGAAGTTTTATATATAACGTCATCCTTCATCAACATGGCTATTTCTAAAAAAGTTCTGAGCACATCTATAGCTACAGACATCAAACTAAGAAATCATTCACGAATACAAATATAGAGATTTTCATACAACACTGAGTTTTGTCATTTGTATACTCTTTTGTTTTTATGAACAGGAATATGAAAGGAGATAAAGTTGCATCAAGCTTTCGAGCTGATGCTTTGCAGAGTTGTGATGACGCCACTTAATGTACAAGCGATACTGTCACAAGGATCATGGTAATATGTACGGTTAAAGTGATACATAGTGGCTCAAATAACGGACGGTCACTAATGTGCCTGCAAGAATCGCTCAATATATTTCAGATCATTGTTCATTGGTCCAAATAAATTAGGTTATGCACAGTACGCTTGAAGGTATCAAATTAAGAATCATACAGAAAAGGCGATATAATAAAAATGCATCAGATTTAGCTGATACAGTAAATCGTTCCCGTGTACGAAGATGTTTGACAGGGTAAGTAGTGTACCATACATAGCTCATTATACTACATCATAGCTGTTTAGTCTCGAGTCAGTTTTATCATTAGACCAGTTAGAATAATAGAAAGACAATATGGAGTTCGCAACGCGTCTCTGTAATCATCTGGGATCCAACAAAATCTAGAAGGATGTAATATTTTATATCGTTCTGAATCCGATGCCTTTTATTAAAATTCAGATGATATAAATCATATCTTTATATTTACACGACATTAGTATTCGAGGCTTTAGCAGGAGCCGGCATGGTTGGCATTCATACATTTATAGTACAAGTCCTCTTCTGACAAATAAACTCTTTCTGCTCACTCCCGACCAGAACTCATCATATAAAATTAGGAGATCGTTACAGCATGGTGTTGGAAACATGATGATTCTATCAACGCTGACGAAGTTGGTACCTACCAGCTACCACGTAGCTTAGCACACGAATCAGGTGGTCAGCATAAGTGGTAGCAAAAGATTGCTTTGAACTTTAGTGCTGAAAGATTCAAATCTA